GCTCATAAAAACCAAACGAAAAGCAATATTTACATAATTCAAAAAGCAGTGTATTAAGGACAAAATAGAGAATAAAACAGTGACGCTAATTTTTCTATATTCATTGAAAATTACATAAATAACAAAGGTATAAGGTGCGGGTCGATATGTCGGCTCTGGCACTTTTCGCCAGTGCAGCGAGGGCCGATATATCGGCCTCCGGCACTAAAAGGGTTAAGCACATTCTCTGCACAACATCTTGCAAAACGGCTCAAACAACCCGATTTTAATTCATTCATTAGTTTGAAAATGTTTTTGTCAATTCAGTATCAATATGCTGAGTTTTATTATCAATCAATTGTAGCCAATGTTTAGGACATGTGAGTCAGCAATATGTGAGCAATATATGAGCAATAATTTTTATTCACAAGTTAAGAAAAATAATATAAGTTTATTGCCGATGAGTTGTTGGGAACTTGCTGTTATTATATTTTTGAAAACTGTTGCTGGCAAGAACATACTGAAAAGAGAATACACTCTTTTGTTACATTGCTGAAAACTTATGAGCAATATTTGTTGTAAGTTGCCAACAACTTGCACTCAGCTGACTATCTGGGTATATGTAAGATATTATTTTTTATATTTTTTATACCAACCACAAGATCCAGTTGAGACATTGTTTCTCTATCGAGACTTTTGGTGGTTCTAAGTACACCCGAATGCTTGTCCAAGATAACTAAATCATTGTGTCTCCCTCCGACCAATCTGTACGTGAATGGCGCGCCGTTGGGCGGCAGATCGGGATCGGTCGCGCTCAGGGTCATGATACTGGTTCCAATCGGTTCGTTCTCGCTAACACAACCGATTACTTCCGGTGGATCGAAGACCGGGCCGTTGTCATTGACATCCAGCAACTCGATGTGCACCATCGCGGTGCCGGTTTGAGGTGGCGAGCCGATATCGATCGCGCCGATCGTTAGATCGTACGTGGGCAAAGTTTCGCGATCCAACTGTTTTGCCGTCTCGATGTCGCCAGTTTGCGGATCGATTTTGAAAGCTTGACCAAAATTGCCACCGATTATTGAGTACGAGAACTGATTGTTCTGCGGTTTGATATCCTTGTCGACCGCGCGAACAGTAAGCACGCGGGTTCCGTAAGCGGCGCTTTCTGATATGTTGGTGTTGTAAGAACTTTGCAAGAACTCGGGCGGATCGTTGCCGTCTTGAATAGAAATGATCACTTGCGCCTCGTCGGTATCGTTGCCGCGTATACCGCCGCCGTTCTTTGCCATCACGGTCAGCACCGCGCGATTTTGCGTCTCGCGATCGAGCTGGCGCGACACTCTGATGATACCGGTCTCCGCGCCGATGAAAAAACCACGGTCGTTGGACGAGCCTACGAACAGGTAGTACACCCGACCGTCCTCACCCGCGTCCTGATCGGTCGCCTGAACCAGACCGACCGACGTGCCTACTTCCGCGCTTTCCGACACTTCCATTTGAAAGACCGGTTGGATGAACTTCGGATAGTACTCGTTCACGCCGGTGATGTGCACCAACACGGTCGTGAAACCGACCATCTGCGGACTGGAGTCGGGATTGGCCGCAACGATGTCAAGAGTGTACTCGTTCGCCTCCTCGTAATCAAAATTGATTTCCGACGTGATTTCTCCGGTGTCCTCGCGAATGCGAAAATGTTCCTTTCCGCTGCCACCCAGAATCTTATATTGCACTATGGCGTACTTGGGCGAGTCAATGTCTCTCGCAACCACCTGAAAGTGTGCAAAAGAAGATATGAAAAATTATATGATAAAAAAATAATCCCAGCAAACACAGATATATAACAGCAACATTGTCGTAATAAAACAAATGTAACAACCTACACAGCAAAATATATCATAAAGATATCTGGAAAATATCTAAATATCAGAATATCTGATTGCGTAAATACTAGTCAGATATCACTGAGATATCTGATTTAGATCTCAGATATACTTTGCTGTGTGGGAAGTAATATAACATGGTCGTTGCATGTAACATCCATGTTAGTTGTAATTTCCTACTTATCGTATATTGCAGTTATATAATATGAATATAACATGTAAGTAGAATGTAATATAATTGTTATATGGTTACAGAAATGTTATATGAAAGTTATAATATCATTACCAGCTAATAACAAGCAATATAATAGATATATAACGTAATTATATTACATTTATAAAACAAAGTTACTTATGTAACTTTGTTTTACTGGCTACTAACAAGCAATATAATAGATATATAACATAATTATATTACATTTATAAAACAAAGTTACTTATGTAACTTATGTAAACTTTGTTTTACTGGCTAATAACAAGCAATATAATAGATGTATAACATAATTATATTACATTTATAAAACAAGCAATATAATAGATATATAACATAATTATATTACATTTATAAAACAAAGTTACTTATGTAACTTATTATATTTATGTTACTTATGTAACTTTGTTTTATAAATGTAATATAATTATGTTATATATCTATTACATTGCTTGTTATTAGCCAGTAATGACATTATAACTTTCATATAACATTTCTGTAACTATATAACAATTATATTACATTCTACTTACATGTTATATTCATATTATATAACTGCAATATACGATAAGTAGGAAATTACAACTAACATGGATGTTACATGCAACGACATCGATATTATAACATCGATGTTAATAGAGTATGACAGCTGTTATATTACGTATATCACGCTGTTACTTCTATGTTATATGGCAGTTATATTCTGTGTTTGCTGGGGTTAATTGACGTTATTAAATTTCAAATAGAATTTAAATTTAGTTCACACGCTTGATCACCGAAAACGACCAATGTTAATTCTAAAAGACGAGAATGTACCTTGTACACAAAACTATCGGGCGGCAAATTTTCTGGCAAAAACGCTTCGTAAACGCTCTGATTGAACGTCGGAGGATTATCGTTGATGTCGGAGACTTGAACGGTCAAAAGACCCATCGCCTGTTTCGGTTCGAATCCCAAATCCGTGACAGTGATGGTTAATCGATACTCCTGCACAAGATCGTAATCAAGTGGTTCGAGTATGGATACCTTGCCGCTGATGGGATCAAGAAAGAATTTGTTCTTCTCGTTGCCGCCTGTGATCTTATAGCGAACGATACCGTTGGGTTCTTTGTTGTTGTCACCGTCGACGGCCAAAACCGTGACAATCACATTGTTGACCGCCTCGTTCTCGGGCACTATTACGTGATAACTGCTGGAATCGAAAACAGGCGCGTGTCGATTTTCGCCGGAAATCACAAGTTTCAGAATCACTTCGTCCTTCTGCGGCGGCACGCCTTTGTCGGTTGCGCGTACGCTCAGAATAAACACCGTGCCTACGGCAATCCCGTTGAGACTTTTGCGCACGTAAACCCATCCGGATCGTTCTTCGATGCCGAACACATCGTTGGTGCTGTTCTCGTTCAGTGAATAAATGATTTCCGCGTTCACGCCAAAATCGGCGTCGTCGCGAGCGATCAATTGAATGATTTGCTTGTCAACTCCATAATTTTCCGGCACTGACGATAAATAATTCCTCTGCTCGAAGCGAGGCGCGTTATTGTTGGCGTCCACCACGCTCACCTGCACCACCGTTCTCGATGACATTGGCGGTTTGCCGTTGTCAGTCGCGATAACCGTTAGCGAATACAAATTCTCCGGCGAGGACGATCGATGCGTGTGCTTGTAACGCAAAGTTCGCTTGCTGAAGATATCGCCAGTTGCCGGATCGACGGTAAAGAGATCGGACGGTTGCAGCAAGCTGTACGATATAACGGAGTTCGGTCCCTGTTTATCGCGATCGGTCGCCGCGACTTGGCCAACGCATGTTACTGCCGGTTGAAGTTCGGGAAAATGAAAATGATAAACGTCTTCGTCAAATTCGGGCGCGTTGTCGTTTTGATCCTGAATGGTTATTGTCAGAGGTGTCTTCGTTTGCCACGCGCCATCCGTTGCCGCGACCTAATAAAAAGCAATGCGATATAAAATAATAGTATTAATTTGAGAATTTAAAATTAATTTAAACTATTGAGCAATACAAATTAATATATTATAATTATACATGTAGGATAAAAGACCCAATTACCGTCACCTGTTCAATTACCGTCACCCTAAGCTATTTTATTTAAAATATTAAATAAATCCTAAAAAAAGTTATGCATGAAAACAATCTAACATAGAATTTTAAGTGCAATTAATATAACAAAAAATCTCCAGCACTCAACATTCTTGTCTCATTTCTTTTATTTTAGAGGGTGACAGTACTCGGGAAAAAATTGATTAGATCTAACTTAAATTTAACGAGATCAAAAAAAATGGAAAAATAAATCTAATTAGATCCAAATTAAATCTAAATAGATATAAAGTAGATATAAATAAATATAAAGTAGATCTAAATAAATATAAGCAGATCTATTAAAATTACACCTTTATATATATTATTAAATCTACTTTAGATCTACTCAGATCTACTATAATTAAAACTACTACTCAGATTTAGTTGGATTTGAGCAGATCTGAACAGATCTGAGGTGATCTAATATATAATAGATCCGAGTAGATCAAGAGTAGATCTAATAATAAATAAAAGTGTAAATTTTTCCATAGATTTACTTATATTTATTTAGATCTACTTTATATTTATTTAGATCTACTTTATATCTATTTAGATTTAATTTGGATCTAATTAGATCTATTCTTCCATTTTTTTATCTCGTTAAATTTAAGTTAGATCTAATCCATTTTTTCTCGGGTAATAGCTCTCGCATCGTTCTTTTTTAATTATTAAATTTATAAATAAAAATAGAGATTTTGAGAGGCGGTGTTATTTTGTTCCTTATATTCAGAAACATCGAATAACACCAGATAAGAAGAAAAACACATGTTTTTGATAAATAAGTAGTAAAAACAATTCGCTAACGCCAGAGTTTATTATTCAGGTGTACAGACGGCGTCATTAATTCGAAGAATAGGCGCGGGGATCGGAGGGCAAGCGGGGCGGTTGCTCGTAGCGCCAACGGGCGCCGTACTAACTAACTAGTAGCAATCGGGTGTCCACAACTGGACACCCGATTTTGGGACTAATGGATATTTGGATTAACTGGACTTTTTATGTGATCCCTGCGCCTATTCTTCGAATTAATGACGCCGTCTGTACAGTAATTGGATCTTTTACCCTATGTATCTCGAACAACAGCGTATAACAACGAAAATGATTAAAAATTTCAATTAAAAATTTGTTATTAAATAATTTTATTTTAAATTTTACCATCAGCGAATACTCGTCCTTCTCTTCTCTGTCAAGATATCCAGCCACGGTCACGTTCCCGCTCAGAGCGTCGATGGAAAACTTTTTTCCTGGATTAGCGGCAAAACTGTAGCTGACATTCGCGTTTTGACCGATATCCAGGTCGTTGCTGGTTATGCGTATTACATATGTGTTTATTTCCGCGTTCTCCGTCACGTTGACGCTGAACAGTCGCGTGAACCGCGGTGCATTATCATTTTTATCCAACACGCTTATCAAAACTGTGGCGGTGCCGGTTAACCGGGGATGACCTTGATCTCTAGCTTCAACGACCAACTCGAAAGACGCATTCTGAAAAGAATTTATAGAAAAATGATTAAAGTATTAATTAGTTATATATTGTTTAGTGTGTAGTTATATCTTTTCTAGAAGCTTCGGAAGCTTATCTTGCGATTGAGATTATTGTAATTTCGAAATTAACCGAAATAATAAATTGTTTGTTACTTTTTCACGATCCAAAGTGGCATTGGTCTCAATCTGTCCTGTGTTGCCGTCGATGATAAAGGACTCGGAAGCATTGTTGACCAGATGATAGGTGATTTGACCGTTTTCGCTGGAATCGCGATCTCGCGCGGTCACTTTGATGACAAATACCGGCGGATACTCTTCCTCCGGCACGGTTGCGTTGTAAATAGCCGCTTCCATGACTGGCGCGTTGTCGTTGGCATCCGTGACGTTTACCAGCAGCTGTAGAACGCTGCGCAACGGAGGTTCGTCCGAGTCACGAACCTCGATCCAGGCTTCGTAGTGCGGCGCAGTTTCGTAATCAAAACCGGAAGCGACTACGACCTTAAACAAAATAATATAATTTATTATTATTTGATATTAACGAGATACAAATTGTTTATTCCGCTTGGCGTTATTACCCGCGCATTATTATTTTGTATATTAGAATATATTTATATGCGACAATTAATACTAAAAATTCTTTTCACAAGTATCTCCACATCGAAAAAATTATATTCTTGTAAGTAGAAGATTTTATACTTAAAAAATCTTCTTAAAGATTTTAGATGATATTCTTCTGAAATTAAGAATATATTCTTAATTTAAGAATATAGTCTTTTTCGATAGTGAGATATATATATGTTTTTCTATAGAGGCTTTTTATATTCTAATCAGTATATATTCTTATCAATGTTACTATTTAGAGGATTTTCCTCTTAAAATAAGAAACTCTTCTTGGCGCCTATTTTAGTATAAAATATACTTAAAGTAAGTGGGATATATATATATTAGGTCTACCGGAAAGTTCTGTCCGTTTTTGAAATAAAACAAAATACAAATTTTTCTTAATTTTTCAAAAATGGGATATACAAATTGCCCTCACGCTGGCAAGAAATCATTAATAATAATGGCAATTATTATTTAATAAAGTTTATTGACGGTAAGAAAAATTTGTATTTTGTTTGATTCCAAAAACGGACAGAACTTTCCGGTAGACCTAATATATATATATCCTCAAAACAAGAATACAATTTTTTTGGTGCATTCAATTTTTGATATTTCCCAAGTTTTTGCAAGATTCTTTCTTAAATTCTCTAACAACAAAAACAACACAATGAAACAACCGATATAAAAATGAGACGTTAAATTTCCGGCGTGCGAAAAGGTCCGCGTCGCTTCACAAAGCGTCATTCGATGTCATTTACCTCTCCGGTATGAGGATCGATTCTCAGAGCGTCTCTCACATTTCCGCCGGCTATGCCGTAGATCAGATTACTGGCCGGTCCGCTTTTCGGCGTGGTCGCGCTTAGCTTAGTGATCACCCTGCCTTCCGGCACGTCCTCGGGCAACGTGAACTTGGTACTGACGCTCGAGCGGAAGCTCGGGAACAGCTCTCGTTCCCACAGGTGTATCATCAGATCGGCAGTAACGTGCTGAGGATCGACGCCGCAGTCCGACGCTTGTATCTGCAGCTGATAGGTAGCCTGATCGCCGATCAGTTCCTGATCGGCGCGAATCACCCCGTTATCGAGATCGACGGCGAATCTGTCGGCGTCCTTACCTTCCAGCTGATAAATGATCCGCGAGTTTTCACCGTCATCGTCGTCGATTGCTTTTGCGCCAAACACGAAGTCGCCTTTAAACGGACAAAAAAAAAAAGGCTTGGCGTTAGCAAGCGCGAATTCTAATTAAAGCGCAATGAAAATGCGTTGTCTCTTTGATCGGCAATTAACAGTTGCCTAATTAACGGTTTCGTCGCCGATTTCATTACCGGGTTTGGTAGCGCTCGGAACGTAGGCCGTGTATCGGGGACTGGAAAAACGGGGCGCGTTGTCGTTCATATCCGTCACGTAGATCGTTAAATTGACGGCAGAGGCACGAGGCTCCGTCGGACTCGAGTCCTGAGCCACCAGAGTGAAGTGATACACCGCGGTCTCCTCGCGATCCAACGGCACCGTGGTGAACACCTCCCCGGTGTCGGGATCCACAGAAAACCGTTCCGCTTTGTCTCCCAATAGATATTTGTTGTATCTGTCCGAAAAAATATAACAAAACACAAAATTATAAAATAATCAATAAAATTAGATCGAACAGATTGTCTATAGAGATTGACTGCTTGTTGTTAAAAAACTCATTTTTTATATTTTTAATATCAAACACGCCGCGACACAAAATTAATACGTTCTTCTCAAAAACAGAATAGACTTTTTTAAAATTATTTAGAAAAAAATGTTTCTTAAGGTATTACCCTCGATTGTTTTCTAATTTTCAGTTTTACTTTAAACTTTTACACAATGTTTAAAAACTTGATCTACGAACCCCTGAATTTGTTCAGATTTTTTTACCGTACAGTTTTTGAGAAAATCGAAAACGAATTTCGCACGATTTAACATGGAAGTGATAGGGAGAACGAGGAAATCACGTGCATTTGCCTAAATATCTAGAGTTCAAATTTTCAGATTTGGCTAAAAATATTACTACAGCTTCTTTAAACTATAAAGAAAATATGTGTGAAAAATCAGACG